GGGCTCCTGATGCTGCGGTTTCGTCTGTTAAATCAACTCCGGCAGATCTGCAACCATGTGGATCTTTTCCGGGTTCGCCGCGAAGGAGGAGGGGCGGGGGGGCGGCGGGGGGGGAGTTTTCGCAGCAACCGCGCGGTCGACCTCGACGGGAGCGCGAAGTTGCGGGTCCTCGCGGAGATGCTCGCGGAGTGGCGGGAACGGCGGCATCGCGCGCTCGTCTTCTCGCAAACCCGCATGATGCTCGACATCGTGGAGAACTGGTGTGAGCAGCAAGGGTATCGCTACATCCGCATCGACGGCACCACCCCATCCGCGCATCGCCAGGAATTGATCGATCGGTTTAACGAGGACGATACGGTGTTTCTCGCGCTTTTAACGACGCGCGTCGGGGGGGTCGGGGTGAACCTCACAGGGGCCAATCGGGTGGTGATTTTCGATCCGGATTGGAACCCCACCACGGATACCCAGGCACGCGAGCGCGCCTGGCGAATCGGGCAAACCCGCGACGTCTGCGTCTACCGCCTGCTCACCAGCGGCACCGTCGAGGAGGCGATGCTTCGTCGGCAACTCGCGAAAACGTACGTCGCGGATAAAGTCCTCCAGGATCCTCACCTCGAGCGGGTTCTCACGCAACCGGAGACGCTCGTGGAAGGGTTTTTTCTCGGCGCGGAGTACGACGAACGGGTGCCGGTGGGGAAGAAACACGTACTCGCGCCGGTCGAGCTCCATACCGGCCTTCCACGCGGCCCTTTTTCGCCTGTTAAAAGGGAAACCCTCTCGGAAAAGGGGAAACCCATGGAAAAGGGGGGAACGGAAACGGAAAAAAAAACCATGGAGGCAGAGTTTGGGGAGCTTTGGGCAGGGGATAACGACGACGACGTGGAAGAAGAGGAGGAAGGAGGGGAAGGGGAAGGGGGGGATCCATCGGAGGATACGGCGTTGCTGCGGCAGATTTTTGACGGCTCGTTGGAGGGGATTTCCGGCGGCGATGCGGAGGTGGAGCACCTCGCCCGACTACACGCGGAGCGCTCCCTCGCGCGATTAACAAACGCCACGGAGGAAACGCGCCCTCGCCGCGAGGAGGCTTCCTAGGCAAAAAGAAAAAACAAAAAGAGCCGCTCTCTCCTTCTCTTCCCCTCTCGGTGTGGAAAGAAGCTTTTCACAACAGAGAGAGAGAAGGGGGGGATAAAAAGAAAAGGGATTCATTAGGATGATAGGGTACGCTAATGGGTGGAATTCGTTCAACGGTCGTTTAGAGGCCCATCATCGAAGATTTTCGTCTTTTTTCACGGGATGGAGGGGGAGGGTAGTTTCTAATCAATCTTATTGGAGGTTTTTTTTGTTTGCGTTATGAATAATTCTATATTTCTAACAACCAGTTTGCTACCATATATTTCTTCACAGGTGTAAATGACGTCGTCGTGCGGAAAGGCACCATGTGCGGGTTCGATAGACCATAGATTCTGGAGGGGAGGATTCATCCTGTTGCGTTCCTACAGGGGTGGATCCCCTTCAGGCATATAATTTTTTTTCTCACCCCACCCCACCTTACTCCATCCCCATTGCATTGTTTTTTTCAATATGCTGAATCACATTAGTTTTTTTCTTGAAGGGGAGGCGAATTCAAGGAGTATTTTCTGATTTGCCTTTCTATAGTAACTTGAGATTCCCTCCCTACAGAGGAAGGGGGGGGAGGGGGGATGCCTTGCGATTTACATGTTTGTCAGTGCTGTGGTTTCTATCACACCGTAGGCATATCCAATCACTATGAATAGAAGTGTATTAAATATAAACTTAATAATTCTGATGTTTGCCCTTATTCCCTCCCCACACCCCCTCCTTTTTTTTTTTTTTTGAGGGGATGACTGCGTGTGAACTTGAATCTTGATATTCCCTCTGTCTACTCTCCGTATCACACACAAGGAGGTTTTATAATGCAATATGTGTGTATTTTCTCCTTTCAACCTTTTAAAACCGGAGTATCCCGTGCAGGTTATAATAGGCCTTCGCCACCTATTCAGCTCTGAATTCCTAATGTTCCCCATAGGAGTTTTTTTTGTCCTATGGGATCCTCTCTTTGGTGCGATTTCTCCATTTTCTTCTTTGGGTTTTCTTATACATACTCTTTAGTCTTTATTTACCCTCCCGGGTGCTTTGTATGCAACCACCACAACAAACCGACCAAATCGATAGGGATTAGATTTATTTAATACACAGCATCCAGGAACTTCTGGGGACACACAATAGGTTGTTGGGGTTTAGCTCATATAATAAACATATTTCGATATAATTATATATCTATATATTATTTCCTTCTTTTTTCCCGTTTGTTTTGTGAGATCGGCGTAGAGTGCCGCGTACACGATTTAGAGCTAGATTATTGTCTGAGATGGACTTACGAGAAAACATGCATAGCAACGGAGAGGTGGGGATGGCGGGTTCAAGCCAATTCACCCGCCAAGGTGGGGCTCCTTCGTTGAGCACCATCTCCGCCTCCTCCACCTCCCCACCGACGCGCGGCGAGGAATCCACGAGCACCCCCGTTCGAAAACCCTTTTTGGAGGGAAATCGCGCGGGAAAGGTGGCGACGGAGTCGTTTCGCTGTCGAAGCGCGCACTTCGCGTTAAGCGGAGGGGGTGGCGGAGGGGAAAACGGAGGTGGAGGTGGAGGTGGAGGTGGAGGAGGGGTTCGTGTGGGGTTAGGAGGGGGGAAAGGAAGTAGCAGCGGGATTCCCCTCCCGCCACGCGCGCGATCGGCGACGCCGCCCCTCACGCAACACGAAACGGGCGTGGGGGGGGGAGGGGGAAGAGAATGCGATGGGGGCCTCGCGCGGGTGATGATCGCGCGGGATCCGCTGGAGCGTCCCGCGGTAGCGCTTTCCTCCCACATCATGGTGATCTACAAGGAGATCAACCTTAAGTTTTGCAACGAGCGTCGGCGAAGTTTGCTGGGAACGAAATCGAACGAAGGCTACGACGACCGGGAAGGGCATTACATCTCCATCATCGGCGAGGAGATCGCGGGTCGTTATACGGTGCAGGAGCTGCTCGGCAAAGGCAGTTTCGGGATCGTCCTGCGGTGTTGCGATGAAAAATATCAAGAGCCCGTGGCGTTGAAAATCATCCGGAGTGGGGCGTATTTCTGCGCGCAGGGCTGCCTGGAGGCGGAGATCGTGGCGTACTTGAACAAAAACCCCGCACTCGCGAATCTCGTCGTGCAGCTCCGCAAGGCGTTTATCTGGCAAGGCCATATCGTGCTCGTTTTCGACCTCTTGAGCTTCAACCTCTATCAACTCATTCGATGCACGAAGTTCAACGGGATGAGTTTAGACCTCACCCGCAAGTTCGCGTTTCAGCTCTTGCAGGTGCTCCTCCAACTCGAGCAGCACGACCCGCCGATCATTCATTGCGATTTGAAACCGGAGAACGTCGTGTTGCGGGATCGCAACCGGAGCGGAATCCGCGTGATCGACTTCGGCTCCTCTTGTTATCAACAAACCCGCCATTGGGTGCTCCCGCCGCCGCGGGTGAGGTACCTGGCGAAACCGACCGCGGCGTCGCCTTCCTCCGCGTACGCGCTCGCCACGGCGGCCTTCTCGCCTGCACCGGTATCAGGGAACGCGGAGGCCGCCGGGGGGGGATCGGGGCTCCCCCCGGCGTCCGCCGAAGGGAAAATCGGCGACGGCGAGGATGAACGAACCTACCCGACCTCCTTACTCATCCCGCTCGCCGCCGAGAGGCCTTCGCAGACGAATAATTTCATGCCCAAATACATCCAATCCCGCTTTTACCGAAGCCCGGAGGTGATTTTGGAGCTCGGTTACACCACCGCGATCGATCGTTGGTCGCTGGGGTGTATGTTGGTGGAGCTCCACACCGGGGTGCCGCTCTTCCCGGGTAAAAATGAAGCCGACATGATCGCGCTCTTCACCGCGATCCTCGGACCGTTGCCCGATGCCATGATCGCGTCGAGCCCGAAACTCGGGAATTTCTACCATTACACCCCTTATGAGCCGAGCCCGACGGGTTCAGGAGGAGGGGGAGGGGGGGGGGCGGGCGGTCGTTATGGAAGTGGAGGG